TAGCCTGATGGCGGCCGCTTCTGTCGTAGCCAACAGACGCTGTCCAAGAAATTTTGAATAGCTTGAGGGCACCTTGTAGGTCACTCAGAAGGCCTCTTTGACATCCACGCGATGGTCAAAATCTACTAATCCAACAGCCAGCAGCTTAGCGCCTCAGCCGACTACCAGTTCCCCCTAACGCTAATCAGATTTTGACCCTGATTCCCCTTCCCCCATTCCCCCTGCCCTGACAATCGTTCTATTTTTTCTACCAACCCGCATAGTTTATTTACTTAATTACCATATAAATGTAAAGGCCTGATGCGAATTATCGAAAACAAACGTATGTTTGCGAATTTATCTTCTGAATTTTTCAATGGGAATTTTCGCAAATTTAAAACGTATATTTGTTTCAATGTACTAAATGGAGTCGATTCCATCAATATAAACTCCTGTTGCTCAGGCAACTGATGACTATGGAGGGAAATTCAACCTTATATTTGCAGAATTTAACGAAAAAATGGAAAGTCGGGTTGCTGAAAATGTAAAAGTAGGTTATTCTTAAAAGTCAAAGGTCAAAAGGACCTCTAAAGACAGTCCTACTAATACAACTACCTTAACTGCAGTTATTATTTTTTAAGACGAAAGCGGGAAAACTGTTAAATTTATAGAAGAAATTCGATGAGCCCGAAACTGAATACGCCACTCGCTGCAAGGACCTAAGTTCAGTAGAATGCTGGTAATAAAGTCGCCTAAATAAATGCACGCCTAAACGTTCGATACTGTCAGGCAGGATTTAAGGTACGGGTAGATTAAAACAGCAAATAAGTTTTCAATACTTTTCAACTGTAACTTGGCTATATAAATGAAATTCTAACGCCGGCATTTTTTTTGTAGCTAACCTTTGTTGGCGTCTTCTGAGTGGCAATTGTGCGTAAGAAGAGCTGTGTCATGTGGGCAAATCGCAGACGTCCAATGGTTGACTGCCAGGCGAGATCTTGAGGAAAGAGGAGTGAGCACTGCTCAAGAGCTGCAGAAGCCAGGGCCAGCTGGGTGCGCTGGGTGACATTGGAGACGCTGGAGGGCGAACTCTGATTGTTGGGCGGTCGAAGCCAGATGAACCCAAACTGACGTGGACTAATGCGTTGACGTTGGAGAAAACTTTGATCTGACAATTCATGCACCATACAGAGGTCTAGGAGGAAGATGAGAGAGAACATGCCTACTGAAAATATGTGTGTGCAGTAGTCCAGTGTTCTCGTGCAAGGAATGCGCTGCTGGAACGTAATTCAGACTGGCTCACAGCACATGGTTATCGGGTTGAGCTGTGTACGTGTGGGACTCTAACTTCTACCCCACATGTGTGTGGTATGCCATAGACGGAGGCCTTTACGCCGCACCAATCACTGCGCGCAATGCCAGCACCAGAGGACGTAGAGACAAGAACTCACAACATGT